TGGATTGGCCATGCTAGATTGAGAGCGATGCGCAGGTTGGGTGGTTTGGCCATGCTAGATTGAAAGGGGTGTGCAGGTTGGGTGGACAAAGTCAGAAATGACATGACATGAGCTTATGGTTCAACAGGTTTATTTGCAATCACAAGCTTTCTGAGCACTGCTCCTTCACCAGTGAATAGCCTTTTTCCACACTGTAGGGATTCTAACTAGAACTGGATGCATACTCTCCTTCCCAGAAGGATAAACGAGTAAAATTGGTGAAGAGTGACGTTCAGGTACACTTCAAAATGGAGGGCCAGTACATCCCTTTCCAAGTGTGACTGTGTTTTTCCCCACTGGGTCGTGGCCTAACCAGGATCCAATGAAGGCATAATATCGCTGCTTTGTCGGGTATTTTTTTTTTCAACCAGCTCAGACAGGTTATGACACATGTCTAGAGCAGATGGAACTTGAACCCAGTTCTTGTGGCTCAGAGGGAGGAACACTTTCGTTCTTTTATATTAAATTACTCTATTTATGAAGAACAAAATCCCATACACATCGCTAATAGCTCTCTTAGTGTCCTGTCACCTAAACCCCCAGGTCTCTCAGTGCCTGCACTCTCTCTAGAATTGTGCTATGAAGTCAATATTGCCTCTCCCCATCTCTTTTGTCAAAATGCATCTCCTCACACTTGGTATTAAATTGTTTGTCTGTGCTGTTGACCAGTCCATGACCTATTGCAATTGACTGATATCATCCTTACTCTTTCTCATACTCATAAGTTTGATTAATCAACAGGTTTTGAAATGTTGTTTTACATTCTCTTATATATGTCATCTGGGTCGAGAGGTCCAAACACTTAGTCTTTGAAAGCACCACTGTGTGTCATCCTTCAGTCCGAGAAACAACATTTACCATGACTCGCTGTTTTCTGTCCTTAAGCCAATTTTTTTTTGTCCAATGAGACACTGACTGTCCTATTCCATGAGCCTCAGTGTTGCTAACCAGCCTCTTATGTGGTCCTTTCTCAAACACGTCCTTAAAATCTGTCTAGACAACATCAGTTGTATTCGGTTCTTTGACTTGCGCTGGAGATTCACCACAAAATTAATTTGAAATAATTAAGCAGCCAGCTTTCTTCAGGTGTTGATTGATGGATGATTATTGATTGATTTGATTGGATTTGATTTATTGCTGTCACGTGTACCTTAGTACAGTGAAAAGCTTTGTCTTGCAAGCAGTACAGGCAGATCGTAGTAAACAAGGGCATAGAGATCATAGGCTCCCTAGACAGAGCGAGGCATGTTGAATACCAGAGAGAAAT